ATGCCTGTGTCGTCACCATGGCAGTGACACAAGTGTCCTGCCCCATCCCTGGCCACTTGGCGCCTGTGTATGTAAATTAACCTGCCACCTTTGTTGGGTTAATTTGCATACTCACTCCTGACTGGCTCATGGGTGTCATGAAGGTATGGTCAATTTGTATCTTTCTCTTTTATTAGTGTAGATTGATTTCAGAGAGGAAGAGATAGAAACATCAATGATCAATCATTGATTGGCTGCCTCCTGCACAGCCCCTACTGGGGATCGAGCCTGCAACCCAGGCATGTGCCCTGCTGGGGAATTGAACTGTGACCTCCTGGTTCATGGGTCAAAGCTCAACCATGAAGCCACACCGGCTGGAAACAGTAATCTTTAAAAATTAGTATGGTGTCAGATTTGTAACAATTGGGACACCTTTTCTTTTTTCTTTTCAATTTTTTTTAAAAAATATATTTTATTGATTTTTTACAGAGAGGAAGGGAGAGAGAGATATAGAGAGTTAGAAACATCGACGAGAGAGAAACACCGATCAGCTGCCTCCCGCACATCTCCCACTGGGGATGTGCCCGCAACCCAGGCACATGCCCTCGACCGGAATCCACTGAGCCAAACCGGTTTCGGCTTTCTTTTCAATTTTAAATCTTTATTGTTGATAGTATTACAGATATCTCCCATTTTCCCCCCAATTGCCCCCTTCACTTGGTTCCCACCCCACCCCAGGCCTTCACCACCCTACTGTCTGTGTCCATAGATAAGGTCTTTGATTAACCTCTTCCCACACACATCCCCTGCCCACCTGCAGTCCCCTCTCCTCTGAGATTCGTCAGTCTGTTCTATGCTTTCATGCCTCTGATTCTTTTTTATTCACCAGTTTATTTTGTTCATTAAATTTCCTGTTTATTTGATTTTTAGATTCAATTGTTGATAGATATGTATTTGTTGCCATTTTATTGGTCACATTTTTTATCTTTTCTTCTTCCTCTTAAAGAATACCCTTCAAACATTTCATATTTGGTGGTGATGAACTTCTTTAACTTTTTCTTGTCTGTGAAGCTCTTTATCTGACCCTCAATTCTAAATGAGAGCTTTGCTGGGTAGAGTAATCTTGGTTGTAGGTACTTACTATTCATCAGTTTGAATATTTCTTACCACTCCATTCTGGCCTGCAAAGTTTCTGTTGAGAAATCAGCCGACATTTGTATGGGTGCTCCCTTGTAGGTAACTAACTCTTTTTCTCTTGCTGCTTTTAAAATTCTCTTTTTGTCTTTAGCCCTTGGCATTTTAATTATGACCCAGTGATCCTGCTTCTAGGCATATATCCTAGGAAACCTGAAACACCAATCAGAAAGAATATATGGGGTTGGGAGGGGCAATGGGGGGATAAGGACACATATGTAATACCTTAATCAATAAAAAAAAAGAAAAAAAAAGCTTCTTGTAGACAGTTGAGATGATGTACTATGATGATTTTCAACAGCCAACTCGAAGTTCTAGAGGTATGTTTTTTCTTAAGTGCAAAACTCATTTTTCAACATTTAAATAGACGTTTATATGTACATAAAAGTTCTTAAAACAAAAACAACAACAAAAAAGAATATATGCACCCCTATGTTCATAGTAGGGCAATTTACAATAGCTAAGATCTGGAAATAGCCCAAGTGCCCATAGTAGATGAGTGGATAAAAAAGCTGTGGTACATTTACACCATGGAATACTATGCAGCAATAAAAAAGATGGATTTCTTACCTTTTGAGATAGTGTAAAGCAGTGGTTCTCAACCTTCTGGCCCTTTAAATACAGTTCCTCATGTTGTGACACCAGCCCTAAAATTATTTCCGTTGCTACTTCATAACTGTAATGTTGCTACTGTTATGAATTGTAATGTAAATATCTGATATGCAGGATGGTCTTAGATGACCCCTGTGAAAGGGTCATTCGACCGCCAAAAGGGTCGCGACCCACAGGTTGAGAACCACTGAACTGTAACGGGACCTGGAGATTATTATGCTAAGTGGACTAAGCCAAGAGAAAGACAAGTATCACATGATCTCACTCATACGTAGAATCTAATGAACAAAATAAAGTGATGAACAAAGTAGATGCAGAGACATAAGAGCATGGAACAGATTGATGAGTCTGAGGGAAGGTGGGGGTGGGTGAGGGAGAGATTAATCAAAGAATTTATACACTTATATGCATAGCCCATGGACACAGACAACAGTGTGGTGAAAGCCTGGGCGTGAGGGTGGAGAGGAGGGGAAATAAGGAGGACATCTGTAATACTTTCAACAATAAATTAAAAATAAATAAAAACATGGTCTTGAAACATTTTGAAAAAGATTGTGCCTTGTTTTTGGGGGTGGAGTCGGGATAGGAAGTAATGGATGCTCTGAGTTGCAAATTTAAACATTGAAGTCTATCTAAAATATACCAGGAAATTTCTGCAAATGAATTCTCTTTTGGAAATAAGAAAACTGTTCCCAATTTATTTTCTAAATTGAAAGGGTTATCACTTTTAAAAATTGGGACCTGTAAATTAGCTGTTTCCTACTGGCCTTTTCTCATTTAAACTTAACTTTTTTTAGCATGTTTCCGAGGGCAGACATACTCAAGCCCAATTTCTCTGTGACTAGAAATTTGTATTGGGTTGCATGGACATAGGGTAAGGGCTATTTTCCAATTCCTGTAGGAGGCAAGTTATAAGTATGCTCTGTGTTTCGAAAGTACTTTATTATTTAGGACATTTATTTATTTATTTATCAATTAGGACTAAAGACTTCTTTCTATGTCAGCATTTCCCGAAGTGTGTTTGGAAATCTAGAAAGTAAGCTCAAAGTGATGGTACTGGGCTAAATTATGTATGAATGGTTCTGTGGCTAAGTGTGTTTGGGAAATCCTTTTTCTTTGTTGTATGATTTCTCAGACCTTTTAACTACATTCCTGTGAATTTTGCAGTTGTTTTGTTTTGTTTTTACCAGAAGGCACACTTTTCATTATCTACCCCATGGTACAAATTAATTTGGAATATAACATTAGGATGAGTATCCTGTATAATAAAAGCCTAATATGCAAATCAACCGAATGGCAGAACAACTGGTCACTATGATGTACACTGACCACCAGGGGGCAGGTGCTCAATGCAGGAGCTGCCCCCAGCCCGCAGGCCCCAGGCCAGCCAAGGTGGGTGCCAGCATATCCCCACCCCCCCGCCCCAATTGCACCAGAGAGGGAGGTGAGCAGTGGCGGCAGTGGGTGGTGCCAGGCTGGCCAAGGCAGGTGCCAGTAGGGGGCCCGCCCCCAATCACCCAAATGGTTGCCCCACAGATCGGCCCTGATTGCCGACCAGGCCTAGGGACCCTACCTGTGCACGAATTTCATGCACTAGGCTTCTAGTATATCATAAAGTTATGAAAGAACTACCTGGGCTTCGAAGAGTTATAGTATTGCTTCATAAAGGGTCATTAAATCTGGTCTTTACCAGTCTTTATTCAGTGGTAATCAGTTCTCTAGTATGTGGACTTTGTTACACTTGTGTAAGTATTTGTTTTCAAAGTAATGTAATGGAAAGAAACAGCATCCATGGTTTACATGAATATTAATTTATTGAGAATAAGATACATTTTAGATTTACTGAGTTCAGAGGTAGTCATGGCCAATACCCAATAAAAGTTTACATTCTTAATTTGTACACTTAAAGTTCTTAATTAGAAAGTCACTGAGAAAACTTCAAAAATCATTTAGAGATATCTATAAAAGACTGTGGAATAGTTAATATGCTAAAGCATAATAAAAGTTTGTAAGTAATACAGTACAATACCTGCTTGTTGGTGACATAAAGTATATAATCAAGTTAGACTTTCCCCAAACTTCTCTTTTAGGTGTTATTAACTTTTTTGTTTCTCTTTAACCATTTTCTCCCTCTCTCCCAATCTAAAGTCATGAGGAAGGTATAAGGGATCTGTCATAAAATAGGCATTAACTGTGTTTTCACTGTGTACAATAAGAATCAAAAACTTCTCAGGGAGCAACTTATCCTGTTGCTGTGAGACAATATGCTAGGCTCATTTTTCTGGATTTCCAAGGAAACGCTTTTTCCAATCAAATGCCAGATATTTTTACTTTCTACAGGTACAACACGCAAAATTGCTTCTGGAACAAAACATCAAGTACATCCAACAACTCAAGTCTGAATGTGGTAAATGAGGCACCAAAATTAACACTGACACTTACCTGCAGGGATTTAGCAACATTTCTTTAAAGACTCGCTCATGTTTACATAATTCGAGTACCTACATCAGAAAAACTGTTACTTCATGCAAGTTTCCTTAAGTGTAATTAAATGATCATTCTAGCTAACCGATGTTTCATTTGTTTTCAGACCAATTCTGTTTGTATCTGAGGCAAAAGACTTGGTCCTGGATAAGTTACACAGCCTTCAAAATATTGACCACTTGCGTGTTAATTATCCTTCCTCCACCTGGGCAAGCACCAAAGACAGCACCAGTGCGGCTCTCACACTGCCGCTTCTTACACTGCCGCTTCCGACAGTCACAGAATCAGGCAGGCGGAGGCCCCCATTTTACAGGTAAGGAAACTGAGTGCGGGGTGGGCTTGCACCCGGGGCTCCCACCTAAGTATCATTTTACTGCCACCTGCTATCTTTTCTTCTATCTTGAAAACCTTTACCATATCGGTTTCTCTATGAAAGGAGTTATATTTGAAGTTAGAACCTGAGGAGTGTAGGAGGGTGGGAACAGTAGGGAAGCTGTTCTGCAGGGAGATGTGGGGATCTGTTCGGAATTCCATAGTTGTTTCTCCTCTTGGACACTTTACTGGATTAGTGGAGGGTGTAGCTATACTAACTAACTCTTGCGGCAAACCGTAGGGCATTGCTGAAAATATGTACCCCAAACCTGCTCAGAATTAAGTTCAGGTTTGGCTTGGATTTGGCTTGGAGATTATTTTAATTGTTTTGCTCATCTCTAAATAATTTTGATTCTGATAAAATTTCTGATTTTAAAAACATTTCCTTAACATTATGGCTCATGAACCAATTCAGATTTTGGTTCATGTTTCTTCAAAAATTGCTACCATAATTTTGTTAATCAATGTTACCCTAATAAATTTAATTTAAAAATTAACAATAAAAGAGTAAAAAATAAGATTAAAAAGGCAAAAAATTTGCTGTCTTGGGAAAGGAAAAGTTAGAACTCAGAATGCCCGCTTGAAAAATTCTTTAGGGCTTAATGGCAAATCAAGCCAAATTTCATATACTTTTATATGTAATATACCAAATCAGTTTCTGTAATATATTAACATATGCTTTCAAGTATAATAAGTTATGGTTTATTTAAATAAAAATGATCAAGATATTTAGGTTATTGCCAGATTTTAAAGAAGTGAGTAAAAGATTATAAATTTTGTTTATATTAAACATGTATGATTTTGTATAGACAGAATAAGCTTGGCACAAGAATAGGTCCTAAATGCCCATGTATCTCCCATTCATGTATGGTTCTCAAGCATTCACCATGTTCCAAGCCAAGTATAGTTTCATTTTCTGTTTGATACTTCCCCTTATATAATGTTTTAAGTTAGGTTAACTGTCATTATAGTGGAGAATAAATGCTTCATATTGAGTACTAATGATAAAAATTTTGTTTTCCAATAATAAAAAAGGTAGCCTTAGAGTTAATAGGTAACATACTTTTACTATGAAGCTTAGGATAAATGCAAAGTCCAGTAAAAGCACCGTATTTGAATTTATTTCTTGATACATACATGAAAACACTCTTCTGTCAGCATTACTAGGAACCAGAAATCGCCAAAGCATGGGATCTAGTTTAACTCAAAGCCCTATACAGTTTCTGGGAGAGACTGGGAGTAGCAGATTGCTGGAAACCTTTGTTCATTCATTCAATTTCTAATATGTTCTCTGAGGATATAAAAATGCATTTTTCAAACAAATTAGCCCCTCGGTCCCAAAGAGCTCACTCTACTAGAGAAAACTCGTACCTGGAAGTAGAAGATGATAACACAGTGTTGTAAATCCAATAGTAGAGGTAACCTGTTCTATTTGGGGAGCAAAGAGGAGGGTTCCCAGATTGACTGGGAGGAGGTGAGATGGAAAGGAATGGAATGATGGTCAGCAAAGGCTTCCTGGAGGAGTCGATGCCTGAACCGAGTTGTAAAAGAAGGAGGAAGAAAGAAAAAGTGGGTCAGAATGGCATTCCAGGCACCGGGACACAGCAGGACATTAGGTGTCAGTAGGTTGTTGGCTTTTGTTTCAAAGAGACCCCCTTCCCCAGTGCCATGTGGAGGATGGATCTGAAGAGGAGGAAGCTGACGGTACAGCTGTTGCAGTGGTGCAGGTGAGCTGTGACGGCCGGAACTTGGCAGTGTTAGTAGTCCTGGAGGGAGGGTAGAATCGATAATTATAGTCTTTAGTGATTGATGGAATATATGGGATGACAGAGGAGGAAGAAGTATCAAGGAGAACTCCCAGGTTTGGTGGTACCAGGAATTGAGACAGGATACAGGAGGAAGAGCAGCTCTAGGGAGAAAAGTATGTTCCATTTTCGCATGAGTTTGAGGTACCTCTGTTCACATCCAGGTGGATATATATCCAGTGGGCAGTTGGATGTGAGTCTGAAGCTCAGGCAAGAGGCTAGAATTACACATTTGGGGGTTATCAGCATGACAGGACTGTGGCATCCAGGTGCAGAACGGCAGGGACACTTAAATGACCATATTTTTGGGACTCTGTAAGCAACACCTTATCATCCTATTAGGCCCATATTTTCTGGGGCCACTGAGACATGGCTGCCTATTTTCTCTCATATTTCCTTAGAGCATTTGCAAAGCAAAATATTCCCAGTCTTGTTATCATTTTTCCCTGTCCTGAGAACTAACGATATATGGCACTATCTCTTCATATATAGCACTCATAGCAAGGTCTTGTATATGATAGGTGTTCAATAAATGTTCATGTTCATTGCTTATATTCATCTGTCTCTCTGTATCCAGAATTAGCTTCTTTTTTTTCTTCTTCTTCTTGCAGGAGCTTCATTTTTGCTCCTCAAGTTTAACTTCTTACAAATTTCTAAGATGACTTTAAAATGAAGTGTAAGTGGGCAGTACTTGATAGGTGGGTGTCTTCTATTCATCATCAAAACTAAATCATTTCTTTCATTATCACCACACATTTCTCGTTACAGGATTTAACCATTTGTCTTCTTAGGGAAGGACGGTGGCGTTTGGCCAGTTGTCTCACAGAGGGAGTTAGTTTGCAGTAACCTGGCATGTGTAATCCCTGATTCCAGGTGGTGATGGGGTTGAGTTTCACATTTTGCTTTATTTGAACAATATGTGAAAAAGAGTCACTAAGAGTAAAAACAGGCTAGGCTTTGTTGCGGTTGAGTGGCTTGGCAAAATACTGTACAGAGGAATCATAGGACATGAAGGATTTGATACTAGGGTAGAATCCAATTGCCCTCTGAGTGGAAATACAATATCCTTTTTAAGAGCACTGAAGTCCTGGGTTTTTTTTGGGATAATCACCTTTGTGAGGTGTGGCTCTTGTCCAGGGACTGTAACCTGAGAAGAAACAAGAAACAATTATTTGAGTGATTTCAGATGTTTTGTGGTGCAAACACTAATATCCACCACTCAAATGCTGCCTTTATGAAACACATAGAACAACCTGCCGGGCCTCCCAGGCTAGTAACCACTTCAGTTCTGCTCATTGAAAGAGTTACCCAATGTCTGTTGCTATGGACCATAGTTGTTAATGCTGTTGCCAAGAATTACAAAGTGAAATACAGACAGGTCCTTCATCATGAGGTGTCAGTCAGCAGCAGGAAGCGGTGGACTGATCCTGCCCCATCATTTTCATGGAGATTAAAGGTAAAGAGCTGTTTCTCTTGTCCCAAGTCTGTACTTAATATCCTGATTGGGTATCAAGATCCTTTGTAAGTGGGGTTATTTTCTTAATTTATTCCATTTCCTTGCAGCTGATCTAAGTGCTAACAAGTTTACTGTTTCCTTATAAAGCTTTAATTTTACCTGGGTTTGTTCATGTGTCTGGATCTTTAGCTAGACTTTTTGTTGTTGTTGTTGGAAATGATCAGGAAAAATAAAACAAATGCTAAACTAATTATAGATCATGTCCACGGAGAGATGCTTTTAATATATATGGTGAAGAGAGAGAAGAATGGGACATTTACATAACCATTAGTTAGTATGTATTTTAGCCATTCATTTCCATTTCCAAAGTCTAGCCTTGCAATCTTGTCCTAGAACTAGTAGGTAAAGCCAACACGTACTGTATTGGTCTAACTGGAAATGAACTATTCATAACTATTCTGTAAAGGTGTGGCTTACTTATGGGATTACATAAAAGTAATTTAGATTCACTACAAGGAAACCCCCTCCCCCCATAGAATGGAAATGTCACAGCACATGACAGGAAAATAAAGCGCCTTTTTTATACAAAGAGTCACAGTGAGTTGAGGTTTCCAGCTCTAGCCACTCAGTAGAAGGAGAGATTCTTAAAAGGATTAGCAATTGATGAGCTCCGCTGCTGGGCACTGTAGGAATAACCTGTGGAGCAGGGAGGCTCTGAATTCTATAGTTTTATAAACTGAAAGCCATGCCTTTATTATGTCCTAAAGATGAAATAATGAAATGCAAAGCCAGTTTTTCCTACAGAACAGACTACCTTCTCCTAGGAGTAGCTCTGCTCAGAACAACTGCTACGCTTGACATTAGACCCACTAAGCAAAGTGGAGAATCTTGAATTTTTTAGAGGAAAGTCATATCATCAAAGAATAAGAGACACAATCTGGACAACTAAATCAGACACTTATTCATTTAGTTCATTTACATAAGCTTACCTGGGCTCAAACCAGTGCATGCTTCCTACCAGGAAGAAATGACTCAGAAACGTGCATCTTAAATTGAAATGAAAACCTGAACTTTTACTTGCATTGGTTGGAAAACTTATCATTTGTTTTTGAAAGGTCTGCAAAATATGTCTATCGCTTAATATAGTGCTAAATTTTGTGCCTCAAATTTTACTTATAATGAATCCTAAGGAAATTGTATCCAAATATATTTTTTAAAGTATATTTTCATTGATTTCAGAGAGGAAGAGAGAGAGAGAGAGAGAGAGAGAGAGAGAGAGAGAGAGAACAGTAATGGAAGAAAGTGTGTTCCTGGATTGATGAGAGAGAATTATTGACTGGCTGCTTCCTACATACCCCCTGCTGGGGATGGAGCCCACAACCCAGGCATGAGCCCTGATGGGGAATCAACCAACCTCCTAGTTCATGGGTCAACGCTCAACCATTGAGCAACACTGGCCAGGCCAAATCTATTTTTTAATAGCAGAAATGATGTCTCATGAAATGGGCATTAAAATGGTATTTCATAAAGCTTGCAAGTACTCTAGCTACATTGTTTAATTATTATTAATGAGGTTTCTTTTCTTTTTTATCATAAAAAGTATCATAAGAAATAGGATTTAGCCTTTATTAAAAATATTAACTGCCAGTTGGGAAAAAAACAAGTTTTTTTTGGTTTGTTCCTATCATGCTCACCTCTCTCAGTCCCGGCCACAGGCAAGTCTGATGTTGTCTATTCCTTTGTCCTCATGTACTACTTTTGGACTTGCCAGACATATTTTATATTCCTTCTAGGGTAAGTATTGTGAATTTTATAGTATTTTAATACCAATAACTAGAACTGTGTACTTACATTTAACGTATATGAGCCAGGCAAGAGAAGGAGGTAATACTCTCCAAATTTGTTGGTTTTATAGGGGCAGATATGTTTTCTGTCTTGGACTTCTACAATTACATTGGGTAATGGATTTCCCTTTTGATCAAAAACTTGACCCTTTATACCTGTAAGACAAAATGAGAATTAAATGTTAATACTATGTATAATGGCATATGAAAAAACTTTATTGTAATTACTTAAGTAAAATATGCCCAATATTTATGAGCTGTTTGAGTTAATAAAATGTTTGAGAAGAAAAACTTTTTAAAAAATTGAGATATAATTGACATATAACATATTAGTTTCATGTATGCAACATAATGATTTGATGTATGTATATGTTGTGAAATGATCACAATATGTCTAGTTAACAGTTACAATTTTTTCCTTATGATGAGAACTTTTAAGATTTACTCTCTTAGCAAATTTCAAATTACAATACAGTATTCTTAACTATATTCACCACACTGCACTACATCTCCAGGACTTAATTTATTTTTGAACTGGAAGTCTATACCTTTTGACCCCACATTTCTCCCACCCCCTGCCTCTGGCAGCTACCAGGGTGTTCTCAGTATCTCTCTGTCTGACTTATTTCACTTAGCATCACACCTTCAAGGTCAATCCATGTTGCAAGATTTCACCCTTTTTCTAAGCTGGATAATATTCCATAGTAAATATATACCACATTTTCTTTACTCATCCGTTGATGGACACTTAGGTTGCTTCTATGTCTTGGCTATTGTAAGTAAAGCCGCAGTGAACATGGGGGTGCAGAGATCTCTCCAAGTTAGTGTTTCCCCCTGAAGTAGAATCGCCAGATCATACAGTAATTCTATGCTAACTTTTTGAGGAACCCCCATGCTGTTTTTACACAGAGACTGTACCAGTTTACATTCCCACAAACGGTGTAAAAGGGCTCCTTTTTCTCCACATCCTCGCCAACACTTGTCATTTCTGGTCTTTTTGGTAACAGCCATTCCAACAGGTGGGAGGCAATACACTTCATTGTGATTTTTGATTTGCTTTTCTCTGATGATTATTGATGTTGTGCACCTTTTCATGTACCTGTTGGCTATTATTCTTCTTTGGAAAAATCTCTATTCAGATCCTCTGCCAATATTTTAGTCACATTTTTTTTTGTGGGGGAAGGAGAGGGTGTGGAGATACTGGTAACTAGGAGGGAGGTGAAATGATGATACCTGCCAGTCTCCATCTATGGAGAATATTTCAGTAGGTACCTAGATGTGGGTTAAATTAGAGGCCTGCCCCTTGGGTTGAAGCTTTAAGACAAGCAAACAGGCTTCTTTCAAAGAGAGACCGGGCATTTCTCAGTTGGCTGTCTCTGCGGGTGGACAGCCAGGTGAGTCTTATGAGGCCTCTAAGAACTGTTTCTTAGTTTTCTATATCCTTGTGGGTCTCATGGATGCAATACCCTCACCTTTCAAAGTTAGATGTTTTGGGGACTCATCTCTCTAGTGTACTTCTTAAAAGATGGGGTGCCAGATGTGGGGTTCAAACCTTTCACACCTCAGGGAACAGAGTTGTGAGTTCCTTCCTGATTGTGGGTGCTGTACTTGGAATAAGGGTTATGGCGAGATTGTGTCTCAGCTTCTCCAAGAGTTTCAATGTGTGTTTTCTTTTTCTCATTCATTCAATATGTAGGAGTCTGTCAGGTAGTTTCTTTCAGAGGAATTTGTTTCATTTGTAGCTGCAGATTTGGTGTCTGTGGGAGGAGGCGAGTTCAGGATCCTCCTACATCACCACCTTGATCCAGAACCCGGTAAACTTATGTTTAATGTAATTAAAATACAATCAAGCTACCAATCTGATTTACAGGATAAGTATGCTATATCAAAATTAGAAAGCATAAAATCCTAAATCCATTCCTGTCATTTTCAAGATGTTTTCTCAGTCACCAAACTGCACTGTGACTTTGCCACAGGTAGATTCCATAAAATCCTAAACAAAACTCAACAACACCAATGTATTACTTTACAGCAGGGTAATTAGCTATGCAAGGGATTCAATAAAGTCTTGCCATAAGGCAAACTACATGGGTAACAAAATTATAATCACAGGGTTACTTGGGAGCATGGAATCGATTGATGGAGTCTTATCATTACTAATAACTGAATATTCATTGATCAGTTAGTATATTTCAGGTTCTATGCTAAGTGCTTAATGTGCATTTTCTCATTGAATCCTCACATCAACTGTATGAGATAGGCAATGTTATTACCACAGCTTTACACGGTGAGGAAACTAAGGTATTGGATTATTCAACAACCTTCTCAAACTCACATAACCAACTACATGGCATAGCCTAGTTGTGAGTCCATGCTAGTCTCCAGAGCCCACACCGAACCAACACCATACCCCTTACCTCAAAATTTCAGAACTATGGCCCTAACCGGTTTGGCTCAGTGGATAGAGCATCAGCCTGTGGACTCAAGGGTCCAAGGTTCGATTCTGGTCAAGGGCATGTACCTTGGTTGCAGGCACATACCCAGTGGGGAGTGTGCAGGAGGCAGCTGATTGATGTTTCTCTCTCATCAGTATTTCTAACTCTCTATCCCTCTCCCTTCCTCTCTGTAAATAATCAATAAAACATTTTTTTAAAAAATTTCAGAACTATGGTTAGTTAATAAAAGGCCATTTACATTTTAAACTCTTCTCATTTTAAATCCTATATTTCACATTCCAAATCTAGAGACAGTTCTTCAAGGTAGGGTAGGCTGGGGTATTTGAATGTCACTGTTGCTGAACAAACACAGAACATGCTTAAATATGGAGTTTCTATTGGAGGGAAACCCCATACATCAGCCAAATAAAAGCTGTCTTCATACCTTACATGTCTTTACAATATTCTGTCCAGGCACCATCAAACCTTTCCTTTAGAGGGGAGTAATTGTTTTACCAGAACACACAATTTATTTTTATATGTTGAAATTGAAATATTGGAGAAAGACCAGTAGCTCCAAAGAGATGCAGAGAGAGCCAGTACTATTACATCAGGGGAAACAAAAAAGTAAAATTCTGGAAAAAGCTCAGATAATAAACAAAGAAGAATAAAATCTGAGACAAATCTGAAAACGAGGTAGAGAAACGTAAAGCTCCCCTTCCCTTGGAAGTATATCAGCTTCGTGAATGAGAAGCCTGTGTCTGGCAAGAACTGGAACTGCATCTGCCGGGCACAATGGGTGGGACTCGGAGACGGCGTGTCCACTCCCTGTTCCCACGGGTGACCAGTTGCCACCTCCTCTGCATCGGGTGACAGATTGACAGCTATCTGTGACCCACAGGCTTCTGGAACTCAGCACGTACCAGATTCTCTTAGGACAGGTTGCTTAGGTTTCTGGGTGCTGTGGGCCATCCCCCAAACCTCAGGGTTCAGGTCTGCTTTGGGGAGAGAGGACAGCAACAGGTAACACTGTGTCCTGCTCATCTTTGCTTCTCCCCAGAGAGGGGGACAAGCATGCCAGGCCCCTAGAATCAGACTCGCCCTCTTTTGCTATGCTGGCCTTGAGGTCTGCAATCCCTATTAAAATACGAATGGCGTTCTTCTCAACTAGAACTAATCCTGAAATGCATATGGGATCACAGGAGACCCTGAATAGACAAAGAAGCCTTGAGAATAAAAAGGGGGAGGGATCACGCTTCCTGATTTCAAACTGTACCAAGAAAGGTATAATTATCAAAACAATATGGCCTAACAGATATAGCTCAAGGGGGGAGAAGAGAGAGCCCAGAACGACTGGAACTGCATTTGGACAAATGGCGTGCTCAAGGTTTTACACGGGCAGACGACAAAACAGCGTGGGCCTTCCTGTCCTCTTGGCCAGGCCCCTCTGAGGCTTCAGGCGGGTCAAAATCTGAGGCATCTTCCTTAGCAAGTGGTGAAACTGTACCAGCGAATGTGACGGACAAATACCAACAATTTCCTTAAACCAGAACAATACCAAGAAGGAGGTGTTTGCTCCCATCACCCACAAACAAAGATATTCTTTGGCTGCCTATTGGGCACCAGTATGAAGAGAACCTTTCTTTCTGTCTATCAAGTAACAATAACGACACTGTATCAGTGTTTTGAAATAGGGTTTCATGTTAAGCTAGAAAAAAAAACAAAAAACGACACCTCCGTGTTAAACCACAAGGGGGCAGGGTTGGTGTGCTGATGAATACATTTTTAAGTGAGTTGTGCATATCTCATTATAGAGCCAGCCAGCCAGATACAGATTCTTTATAAGACCTCATGTAAAGGGGCTTGTACGCCTTCCAAATTAATAATGGCAACAGCTATGCTATGGTTTGCATGCTATCGAACAGTTTACAAAGCCCCTTCACTGGCAGTGTTATGTCAGCACGATGAGCTCCTCAGGGCCTGCCTTAATTCCGTGCTTGGTAAGTAACCTCAACAAATTCCAAAAACAGGGGTGCAGCTCCGTGGAGCGCAGTGCATGTTCAGTGACCCTCCGCCGTTGATGCTGGTGAGGAGGAATTTTAGAAAAGAATAGGCAGCGTACACACTAAAGGGCCGATACAGTCAGAAATACAGTAGAAAAGTTAAGCTGGTATGTGTCTCATGAGGAAAAATCAGTGGATAAATACTAGAATATTAAGCAAGAGAGCATCCGAAGCAAACTTTGATGACAATTAGAAAGGAGAAAGGCACAATAATAAGCTTAATAAATGTTATGCCCTGGCCAGTGTGGCTCAGTGGTAGAGCATGGGCCTGTGCACTGAAAAGTCTCAGGTTTGATTCCTGGTCAAGGCACATACCTGGGTTGCGGGTTTGGTCTCCGGTCCCGGTTGGGGGCATGTATGGGAGGCAACCAATCTATGTGTCTCGCTCACATCAATGTCTGTCTGTCTGTCTGTCTGTCTCTCTCTCTCTCTCTCTCTCTCTCCTCTCCCCCCCATCTCCCAGTCTCTAAAATTCAAATGGAAGAAATATCCTTGGGGGAGGATTAACAATAAGTAAATAAATGGTATATGCTAGTGAAAAAGAAAGATGAAATTTTGTAGCATCTGCCACAGGGAATCGACCTACCTCATATATGTCTTAGCTAGTTAGACACAGTCCTGGGAGGTCACCAGTAACCTCCGTGTACTCATGTTGGGCAGGGGGCATGGGAATGGGAAAATAGGTATGAAGGTGGGGGGCACCCATTTTTTGGATTAGTGGTCAAGGAGAGCTCTTAATTCTCCTTGTACTCAGTCCTGTACCTCTGTGCTTCTTACTTTTCCTTCCTTGGTAGCAGGTGGGAAGTTCTGAATGGAGAAAAGTAACTTTAACTCTGGCAATGAAGAGCCTTCCCCACCCACCCCGCCCAGAGACACAGGCTGTCAAATGAGCTCCAGTGAACTGTGTGTGACACCATCACCACCATCAGTGGGTGTATCTGGATCCGCAGTGTCGGCATCCCCCGGGGAGATGCTAACCATGCAGGACCCACGGAATCACACATGCCCTGGGCGGGACCCGGAAATCTGTGTTTTAACAAACCATTTGGTCTGTGATCAAGGCCAGAGAGCTGTCAAAAAACGGGCTGGGAGGATGCCCGGTGCCAGGCCATTTGGCAGCGTGAAGGGTGGGAGCGGTGACAGCTAACGGTGCATCAGATGTTCTCTGAGTCTGTGACATGGCCTGGTGGGTGACAAGCAAACTTGGCTCTTTTCTAACTGGGTGATGATGTAACAACCAGTTTTCCTGATCTTTTCCCAGCTCTCCAGGTCACTCAACATGTACAATGAGAAGTACTCGATATCACATCCCCACTTAAAGCAGCATACACCATACTTTCTCTTACATGAACCTACAGGCGCTGCATTTCTCACATGCTGCAGACGCTCACGCAGAGAATTTTAAACCGTTAGTTGTGTACGAAAGTGGGGCTGGACTGAGAAAACACAAATAGGGGCTTGCATTTTCTCAGCCCAGAGGTTCTGCTAGGTGTTATATTTTGTAACAGGAACTAATCAGGAAATCGTACAAACCTAGGTGCACCTGTTTTATGTATTCAATCAGCGAGGCTTTGTTGGAATCCCAGAAGAACGGAAGCTTCTCCTCGCGAGGATATTTACAGCATGACAGCTCCAACGTAATTTCAAAGCACTGGGCCCAGATGTAGTTATAATCCTGCATTCCACCTAAGCACAAGCATAGTCACTATTTTTAAGATCTAAAATTGGAGTGGAGCCAAGAGTCCCAGCCCTTGAAGACCAATGAATCAGACAGTTGCACGGAAAGTACACGTAAACAGGAAAAGGTGAAGTTGGCATATGAGCATATAAAATCAGGGTTTGGCAGCTCAATACCCAGGCATGACCGGGCAACCCTAAATCTTCCCATATGGGTAACCAGATCACAGCTGATTGAAGTTCAACTGTGCCTAAAATTAAGTGAGGGGCAGGGGAAGGGTCCTAGTTTGTAATCATACATTACTAAAAGGATGCTTCAAATTATCTTTCTTTCCTAAATTACATTTTAAACAGATGTACACTACAGTGACACTTCTTTAAAAATATTCCTACAGCCGCAGCCGGTTTGGCTCAGTGGATAGAGCGTCGGCCTGAGGACTGAAAGGTCCCAGGTTCGATTCTGGTCAAGGGCATGTACCTTGGTTGCGGGCACATCCCCAGTAGGGGATGTGCAGGAGGCAGCTGATCGATATTTCTCTCTCATCGATGTTTCTAACTCTCTATCCCTCTCCTTTCCTCTCTGTAAAAAATCAATAAAACATATTTAAAAAAATATTCCTACAGCCCTAGCTGGTTTGGCTCAGTGGATAGAGCATCAGCCTGTGGACTGAAGGGTCCCTTGTTCAAGTCCGGTCAAGGGCACACTGCCCAAGTTTTGGGCCAATGAGCGGGTGTGGGGGGGGGGCGGAGCAGCAGATCAATGATTCTCTCTCATCACTGATGTTACTATCTCTCCCTCTCCCTTCCTCTCTGAAATCAATAAAAATATTAAAAAATTTTTTTTTAAAGCTAAGTAGTACACTAATTTGGAGGAATAATTATGGCCAACATTTAATGAGTGTTCACTATTGCTAGGTACTGCCTAAAGAGCTTTGTATCAACTCATCTAAGCCTCAGAGCAATTGTTACCCATATTTTACAGATGAGGAAACTTGGTCAGAGATGGTGAGTAACATGCCCAGGGATTCTAGCCAGAGGTGACAGACCAGGGCACAGGCTCCTGCTCGAGCCGCCATGCTCTCAGCCATGACATCAAGCTGTTTCTGGGAAGGAAAAGGTGCTGTGCTGACTCTCGAGAGGCAAAAGGCCCAAGCACTCCTGCTCCGGGGTTGCTGGTACCCACACTTTCCAGTTCTTCTCTCTGGAGAGCCTGTTTTCAATGGGTTAAAATCATATTTCATCTTTTCTAAGATGCAAAACTTTTCATATTTTAAGATCTCTGAATTGGGATGTGTCTAAAATTTGATGGCTAAAAAAATATCATTGTGCATTTGGTTTGGCTGGAAGCATTTCTTTCTTTCTTTCTCGGTAGTATATTTTACAATCAATGGCATTTTTGATTTGATGAGATAAAATTTAGTAACTCTGAAGGAAGTAGTTACTGCCAGATTTTAATTTGTTAGACTTGATATCTGCCCAATAAAATATATATTCTCAACTCCATCAGGGTATTTGGGAAGTACTAAAGTAGAAAAAAATTTCATGCTAAAAAAAATGGTCAAAATAAATCAAAATATTATTTGAATATTAAATAGTATCTATTTAGGTTCAGATTCCAGCCAGGAAGAATGTCTCTGTCCTTTCTATTTTTTTAAAATAGAGTTTTGTATTTCTCTGACCTCATTTTCACCGTGAAATAGAAGAGGGGAAAACATGGAGAGAGAATCAAAACAAAAGCGCTGGGCGGATGGCTGTCTCAGGTAGGCAGAACTTTAAGGTACAACAGGTGTGCAGAGCACGGGGACTGAGATGCCAAGTGTGCGGAGTGTGTGCACCTCTGGACAGGCCGGCGGGCCTGGCTGCCAACCACCCAGGCCAAGCCAGAGTGCTTTGTTTCACGCGCCTTACAGTAGCTGGCTCTGCCTGCCTTTTCCTCCGGAGGATGCACAGCTCACACACAGGCACCCTTGGAACAATTCCTGGCAGCAAGGTTGGGTTCCTCTCTAATTTCCCACACATCTGGATCTGCCCGGAAATGTGCACACAGCGTATCCCAGGCACAGCTCTGCCGCTGGGCAGGAGGGGCCCTTTGCTCCCCGCGATGAGCAGGGATGAAGCTGGAGCCCCGAGCTGGAGTGGGGAGGCTGTGGGACAGAGCAGAGAAGTCTGGGATGTCGTGGTGTCTAGCTGGTCCTGCTGCCTAGCACTCGTGGTCTATGCTTATTTATCTTACCTGGAAAGCTGGAGCAAGCCACCCAGACACCGCAGTGCCAGTGTGTGCAAGACTTCTGATACCTCTGCACCCGGAGGAACAACCGGGGAAGTGGCCTGTGTGCAGAAGCTTGCAGCTGGGAGGGTCAGGCCAGCCAGCCTGGGAGGGGGCACTTTCCACTGAGGCCATGGAAACCCGCTCCAGCACCGTTTTCCCTCTCGTCCCTCCATCCTAGGTCCCTATTATCTCTCAGTTCCCAGACTGAGATGAGTTCTCTGACATCCCTTATATCAGGGTTTCTGCTTCTATTATTCCTTCTGATAGAGCACCCCCCCCTCCCATGTTCCCTACCTGGCAGTCTCCTCCCCTTCCCTCCCTCACTGGCCAGCCTGTTCCGAGGTTGGAAAACTGGAGGCCCCCCTCCCACTGCATCCAGACTGAAGAGTGTTTTGTTTAGCTTGCAAAGCGGCTTTAACACCATGAGCCCTCATGTCCGAATCCAGCTGGTTGTATCACCTGGAAGATCTGGCAGCACTGGGACTCGCTGTGGCCTGACAACAGTTCCCTGGCTCTAAGCCACAGCTGTCCCATCAGATGAGATGGAAGCATTACGTTTCTCCAAGGTCTTTCCCACTTCCTCCTGTGTTTTGGCTCTACACCCCAGGGCACTGTACCTTTTCTCAATTCTATTTTCATTTTAATTATACTGCCATTGCCATGACTTATTTGCATGTCACTCTTCCCTATCAAACTGGGGGGAAGAGCTGTGACCTGTTCATCTTTCTTGGCACACCTCCCTGACTCATCGTAGAAAACGCTGAACAAGCATCTGAGTGAGTGAAGGCGGCCCTGGCAGTGAGGAACATGTCTGAGCATCTCTCTAACGGCCATCACCCCACTGCTCTCTGAGGGAAGGGACCGCACGGTGCCTGACACACATGACAACCAGCTGGTAGCCCTGGTGCAGGCACTAGGAACTGGTAGAAAAGGAGAGAAACTCACCTTTGAGAGGATACCAAGAGTACCCATTTGTAATCCCGTTCGGGAAGTTCATTTTGTTTTTACACTGATCTCCTTTCTTCATGTTGACATTTTTTGAGGCGTAGGCATTTGCAAGATATTGAAAGACATCATCATCGGGGGTCAAGCTCCGGGAGTGTAACGTCCCCGTTGCTGCAAGTGAAAGACAAACCAAGACCACGTGCTGACATCAGGGTCAGAGGCAGCACACAGTGCCATGAGCAGGAACAGCAGCACTTCACACTCAGAGGCTCTCATTGCTTAGAGAGAAATCCTCTACCCACGTCCGTGAATACCCCTCCCCTTCCTTCCTACTGTGTAATGAGCACACACGAGGTGACAGCACACAGAATAAACCATCTATAAATCCAAACTCCTCCTCCATCAGCTAAATAGTCACTCTTGCTGATTTCTGGAGGTCGGGCAAGTTACCCCTGGGTAGGGGTTAAATGAAACCGCTGTCATATTTTAGGGCCTGGGTATACCTCATCCTGCAGAGTTTTAAGAGGAGTCAGCAATTACTACTCATACTAGAGGCCCGGTGCACGGATTCGTGCACCAGTGGGGTCCCTCGGCCTGGCCTGTGGGGATCGGGCCGAAACCGGCTCTTTGACATCCCCCGAGGAATCCTGGATTGCAAGAGGGTGCAGGCCAGGCCAAGGGACCCCACCAGTGCACAATCGGGACTGGGGAGAAACTGTGGGAGGGCTCCAGGGCGTGTCCGGCCCACCTTGCCCAGTCCTGATTGGTCAGACCCCATCAGCAAGCTAACCTACTGGTCGGACCGTCTGCCCCCTGGTGGTCAGTGCACATCATAGCGACCAGTCAAACGGTCGAATGAATGGTAGGACACTTAGCATTTTAGGCTTTTATTATATAGGATGATTAGCAAAGAAAGATAAGTTGTTCTAGTTTTATTTTCCCTTAGTTATGCTGCCGTTTATGAGGTCATCGAAATCCCAGTTTTACTGTTTCACTGGTGAATGTCAAGCAATCCTGTTGTTGCTTGTCAATGCAGCCATACTGTCCAGCTACTGTTTATAAGTTGTAGGGAGGATGGCTCAGGGTTGAGAAAATACGGCTCTTTCTACCCCTGCCAGCAAAGTCACTAGGGAGAGAGCTAATTCCCTTTCAGAGGCAGAGTTTCAACCCGAGTTTGCTTACCTGAAACACCGTTATCGAAAGGGTAACTGGCCACCAGGGCACCGCCATGGAGGTTTGCCGAGAGGACGAACGTCTCTGTTTTCAGCCACTCCATGATCGCCACAGTTTCAGGCTGCCTTGATTCATTATTAAATTCAAAAGCATCGGGGAAATTTCTATTCAGGTCATAGAAGTTATTATTTTCCCTTTAAAAGAAAGAATTTTGGGGGATTTACTGATGGCATGTGCGGGAGTGGATTCCTGCAATGTGTAAACATTTTGTTTGGGCTCCAGGGGGTTTTCCAAATATGAGTGCAGAGGGTTGACGGTTGCCTTGGCCGCCTCCAGGGAGCCACACCTGGCGTTCACACAACATGCAGCCCCCTCTCCTGCCACTTGCTCTCACCAGTGGACAGTAGCTACTGGGATGTAAGCAGAGGTTTGATGAGTATTTCCACTTGGGGTCCCTCGGCCTGGCCTGTGGGGATCGGGCTGAAACCGGCTCTTCAACATCCCCCAAGGGATCCTGGATTGCAAGAGGGTGCAGGCCAGGCCAAGGGACCCCATCAGTGCACAATCAGGACCGGGGAGAAACTGTGGGAGGGCTCCAGGGCGTGTCCGGCCCACCTTGCCCAGTCCTGATTGGTCAGACCCCATCAGCAAGCTAACCTACTGGTTGCTCTTTCCACTCCCTTTTGGAACCCCGAGATCCCAACCATAGCCACGTGGAGAGCCCACACAGAGATATAAGGAACCCAGGGGACAATCGGAAGTGAGACTCCAGACATGTGGTCCCACGTTAGCTGTCTCAGCCAGACCCCAGCGGAGGCCCAGACACCATGCATGGAGCTTAGCCAACCCTAATCTCTGCTGCGCTGCCCAAATCCCTAACTCACAGAACTGAGAGTAAATAAAAAAGAGGTTGCTTTAAGTCCCAACATTTTGGGGTGGTTTGTTACAAAGTACTGAGAGCAGAAACCACTGGCAGGTGCTACTTGGAAAGGGTTCTGGCCATGTTTAAATATGCTAGAGAACCCTGAAGGGGTCACATGTGAGATTTTATTTATTTTGGGTAGAAGCAACCAAACTTTTAGTTGCACGAATATAAATGTATATTAGACATTTGAGAAATTCCAAACTGCCCGAGGCAGCTTGAAACCAAATAAACTGTTTAAGTCAGAAATACTACTTTCCATCCTGACAGCGCTCTCGTAAAAACGGCGAATGTTCCTAAAACCCGCCGGACTTTCTGTAAGTGGCCAGCACCAACCCCACAAAGTGACACAGGCGAGAAGGTCAGGGTTCTCCGGGTGCGCGGGGGCAGCGGCGTTGGACAGGCAGCAGAGTGGCTACGGTGGGCAGACTAAAACTACAAAGATTGTGCTGAGGCTTAAAGGCGATGAACCCAACTGCGGATCTGAAAGAACGCTGGCCCTTAAGAGATGCAAGCATTTTGAACTGGGAGGAGAAAAGAGAAAGGACCAAGTGATCTGGTTCTAAGCTTCATATTTTGTTTTATGATGAAGGAAAAACCTTGAGGATCTGTTCACTTAAAAAAAATACTGTGAGACTCACTCTTCTTTTTGATTAGTTCTCGTACTGGCTTCATAAATCCAGTGGTCATCATTGAGGGCCTCGGTACTATGCTGGGCCCCAGGGATTGATGAACACAGTGGACAGGATTCCTGACCTCAGGGAGCGTAGAGTTTAGATGCTACACAGGAAATGGGACACTGAAGATGGTGCTCTGAGAGTAAAGTGCAGGAGATATGGGCATCATTAGGGACCTAATGCCTGCTAGGCCAGGGCAGGAGTCTTTGAGGACATGCTGCTTGAGGAGTGGAAAGTGCAGGGCGCCTGAGGTGAGAAAGAACCACAAGATCCAGAAGACGAAGGCTGCAGGAGCTGCGGAAGCAGGTGAGGGAGGAGGGAGGAACGCAGCAGTAAGGAGGGCACAGGAGGAAAGCAGCCATATTCGGATTTCACTTTTCATCCTGAAAGCAGCCAGCAGGCAGCCGTGGAGAGAGTTCAGCTCTGAGATGGTCCCCTAACTCCGCGCACAGGGCCCAGGGACTCTCTTCAAGGGGGTGGGAGTGGGGAGCTTTTTGTTGTTTTGTTGTATTTTAAATAAAGATTGACTAGCCCCTCCTTACCTTCCATTAGTGTAAAAACAGTCAGGCTTTTTGACAGCTTCGAATCCATCTGGGTTCATTGAAGGCATGATGTGTATCCGGGTACTATTGATTAAACGGGTGATTTCAAAGTCTTTTCCATCGTTGGTTATGAGATAGTCAATTAAATGGAGCAGCAGTTCCCGCCCTACAGTCTGCATGTGGGGAAGGGGATAGCATTAGGTCAGACAACAGTTCAAATTCCCCAGCAAGGGGCTCTACGCGTAGTAAATGTTACCAGAACCAGTTGCGAGAGAGACCCCTGTTTCTCAAGAACATCGACACTGGCGAGTGGCCGTCAATCATGGGGGTGCAGGAAATTATTCATTAGTAGAAGTTCTTTTAAAAGTTAATTAAAAACTACCCACCTGTAAATAATTTATTTTTTTTAAAAAGGATTAGAGTGAACCCAAAACACTAATTTGAAAGAATATGTGCACCCCAATGTTCACTGCAGCATTATTTACAATAGCCAAGCTACGGAAGTGACCCAGCTGGATAGACCAATGGATAAAGAAACTGTATATTATAGAACTGACCTGAAACCTATATGTTCATGTTAACCAATGTTGCCCCAATAAATTTAATAAATAAATATTTTTAAAAAGGAAAAACAAATACCATATTATTTCACGTATAGGCGTGTGGAATCTAAAGAGCAAAATAAATGAACAAACAAAATAGAAACAGACTAATAGATACAGAGAACAGACTGAGGTTGCCAGAGGCGTGGGGGCCTGGGGATCTGGGTGAAAAAGATGAAGAAATTAAGAAGTACAAATGATAGTTACAGTCATGAGGATATACAGTACAGCATAGGGAATATAGCTAATAATTATATATGGTGCCAGGTAGGTACTTGAAATGTTGGGGGAACACTTTGTAAAGTATATACCTGTCTAACCACTATGCTGTACACCTGAAATGAATACAAAATAATTTTGAATGTCAAAATAAATTAAAATAACGAAAAAACTCTGTGTCACTACCATTTTGCTGGGTATGTTTCGAATGTACATTAAAATGAAAGCACTAGCCAGTTTTGATTTAGTGAATAGAGCATCAGCCATTGGACGGAAGGGTCCGGTTTTTATTCTAATCAAGGGTATATACTTCGGTTGCAGGTTTGGTCCCTGGCCCTGGTCAGGGAGCCAGGGAGCATGCAGGAGGCAACCAATCGACGTGTCTCTCTCACATCGATGTTTCTCTCTCTGTCTCTTTCTCCCCCTTCCACTCTCTCTAAAAATCAATGGAAAAACATCCTTGGGTGAGGATTAACAAAAACTACAATTAAAATAAAATAAAAGCATGACTCTGAAAATAAAACAGTCATCACATCCACCTAAAATTATCTTATGCAGCAATGATTGGAGAGATTTACTGTTTTTTTTTTTTTAAAGTAATTCACATTTTAGCCTTATTATGGAAAGATTTGATTATCAATTTCTCCCTGTAACCCTGGCTTTAAGGAGCCTGTTTCTGAGTAAGGAATGTCTACCTCTTACATAAGATCAGGTGCTGCTGAGGGTTTGGAGATGGGAAGCCGGGCAGCAGGGGATTAAATAGAGATAGTGCTGGGGAGGCATTAATGTAGGCAGTGCAGGGAAAGACCCTTCCATTACAACCCCACTGTGGGAATGCATTGCTGTGACAAAGGATGAGCAATTCCTTTGCTCCTCACTGGCAAGCAAGCAAAGAGACCACTTTTTATGAATTTTTTATCTGAATAAATAAACACAAAATAATTGGGACTAAGAAAATTTGGCATATGCCAATTATTTACTCACAGGTCGCCATGACATTCAGAGTGGAAATATTCAATTCTGGCTTCGGATTCTTCCTGCTAGTTTCTATCTTTTCCCCCTACTGTGATTTTTGTTTTTACAACAAAAATTGCACTTGAAAAAGTCCTTACAACCTAATAACCAGAAAAGTTAAGCGAGTCATGCACTGGGTTTCCAATTCTGTGCTTTGGAAACTCAAGCACTTTTGGAAGCAACCTCCATGAGCCATCTACTGGCTACCCTAAAACCAGCGAGAGGGGGCTGGGGACTTTCATTTTCTTTTTTCTTTTTTTTAAACATAGAGTTTTTATTGATTTCGGAGAGGAAGGGAGAGATAGAAACATCAATGATGAGAGAGAATTGTTGATCGGCTGCTTCCTGCATGCCCTCTACTCAGGATCGGGCGGAAACCTGGACATGTTCTCTGACTGGGAATCGAACCATGACCTCCTGGTTCATAGGGCGACATTCCAATCACTGAGCAACACAGGCCAGGCCCCCAGTGTCACTTTTAAATGAAAGAAAACCTATGTTACTGGAGGGAAAAAAAATCATGCTTTTCTGTTTGTTTCCATATGCCAAAACAAACCCCAAGTTCTTCACTGCAGAGGGTAAATAAAAATCTTGGAAATACAATAAAACACTAGCAAAGAGTCAGATGATTTAAAAAATGCTGAAGTAAACAGATGAAATTTCAGAGGGAGTCAAACAAAGTCCTCTTTTTTTGGCTGGGCCACATTTTTGCTGCCTCTGTAACAGCAGATTTATGCCAAATAATATTCAAATTAATTCTTCCCAACTTTAATATAAATGTCTCACACACTCATGTTTTATGTATAAACTTCTCTTCATTTAAAATTAAGTCTTTGAATATGAAACCTTAGAGAGTTCAAATATTAAGAAAGAATGTGGTCAAAACAGTGTCCAGTAGCTTAAGCAGCCTTTCATTCGGCCGCTCACTTCCTTCTGGGGAGGGTGGACTTCAGGAGAGACTCCCTAATGAAGAAAGCGAAAGGCTGAACACACCAGCTCCGGCAGCCTTTCCCTCATAACTCATGCGGCCATTGAACCGGCCACAATGCAGAAAACAGAAAATAATGGCCCATCCGTTTTCATTCAGTTCGGTCATGCTGGAATTTAGACAGATGAAACTGAGTGTGTGAGCTCTTTCAAGAATGTTTATAAACAATGTAAGCATTTTTGTAGGAGCAACCCGTGACATAGGCAGTGTGAGAGGGAGTGTGAGTAGCACAGGAGCGTCAGCGATCCCAAGCTGGAGTCTGGGAAGTGGTACACTCTTAGCTCTGAGGTGCCACAGTGGTGTTACAGATTTAATTTACAATCGATTGACTAAATCCTCTTCAAACAGCCTCAAGATGACTGTGCCTGGCACACTTTTACCCGGCCTCCCAGCCTATGCATAGCTGTGCACATGTGTGCCATCCCAACACTGCTCACATAGGTACAATGGCCTGACCGACCCTGACTGGCCACCCTGCCCCACTCCACCATCTAGACCTGGGGGCAGGGATCCTGCTCGCTTTCTCGGTGGCCCTGGGATCTTACCCTGTTCCTGGTATATCATGGACTCAAAAATTACTGTCGACAAGTCTGTTCCAAGGTCAAAACTATGCCAGGAGGAATTTTCTGAAAACATGAGGACTTCAGTCCCTTAGTGAGGGGAGACATACAAACGTTCAAGTTATTTCCTTCGAAGGATTTTCAATATTAAACAAACTGCACAGGGATGGGGCTAACAGTTCTGCTCATGCCGAAGGCTCAGACTTTCTGGTCACCCAGCCCAGCCTCACCAAAAGGGATTATATATATAAATATATGCCTAAAAGGGATGAGATACTTCATCTTGAGTAAAGATTAGTTCTATCTAAATCCAAAAAGAAGATTTAGCTCTAGCTGGTTTGGCTCAATGGATAGAGTGTCGGCCCGTGGACTGAGGATCCTGGGTTTGATTCCGGTCAAAGGCATGTACCTCGGTTGCAGTCTCGATCCCTGGCCCCTGTCGGGGCATGTGCGGGAGGCAACCAATGGATGTGTCTCTTGCACATCGATGTTTCTATCTCTCCCCCTTCCTTCCACTCTCTCCAAAAATCAATGGAAAAATATCCTCAAGTGAGGATTAAAAACAATAAAAAACAAGCAAACAAAAAACAAAACGAAGCCCTAACTGGTTTGGCTCGGTGGATAGAGCATCAGCCTGCGGACTGAAGGGTCCCAGGTTCGATTCCGGTCAAGGGCATGTACCTTGGTTTCGGGCACATCCCCAGTAGGGGGTGTGCAGGAGGCAGCTGATAGATGTTTCTCTCTCATTGATGTTTCTAACTCTCTATCCCTCTCCCTTCCTCTCTGTAAAAAAAAATAAAAATCAATAAAACATATTTAAAATACAAAAACAAAAAGAAGAATTAATTATCCAAAGCCACATTGCAAAACAGGATATTCTCCTACCATCTTGGATGGGGTGGAGGAAAAATGTGGGAAGTGGCATTTGGAAGGACAAGCTCTAAGGCTTTAATCTTTTGTTTTGTTTTACTAAGTTTGGAACCTCTGCTGCATGCTGACTACACAGCCCAGACTTCCCGGGACAGGCACGGCTTCAGATAGTATGTCCTGTTGTTCAGGGAAACATGAGCATATCCTCTAAAGGCAAACATTTAGACATACCAACTGCATCCCATAGGCTGTCTCATATCTAGAGAGCGTGTGAAAATCACTTGTCTTTAAAGTTGAAAAATAGGGTCACTATTATGTAGGGAATATTTTTCCCTTCAACCCATATATCTGGAATACAAAGTAATTATATAACTTAATGCCACCAACTGTGAAATTCTAAGTGTGATGTGGATATTTCAAAAGTCTATACCCAAATAAACCATCCTAGTAAAAAAAAAAAGCATTGATGTTTAAGAAACAGGAGTTTTTAAAAAACTCCCCCCCTCAAAAAAAAAAAATAGAATCGGTAATGCAGTGAAGCTTAACAAACCCACATTGAACACCTACTCCAATACTACTTACAACCATGGGTCCTGAGGTCAAGGGCATCTTGTGAACCCAGCTTTCTGACCTGTGCTTTGCTATTACTGGATTAGTTTAAATCTATTGGCACCCAACTTTTTAAGCCCGTAGTCAGGCTTCACTTCAATATTTGTATTAGAGAGGAATTAGATAAGTCTTAACAGTCTGGAGATTACCCAAGTATAACATCTTTGGAGTGGGGGGTGGGACTTGAGGAAGGAGGCAGCAGCGATTTCCCAGCTCCTCTCCGGCACCCGTTCAGGCCGCGGGTATTAGTTGTCCCAATGTCAGGGCATGGTCCCAGTTCTCAGTAGAGCTCTGATTGTAGAGACTGGGTTACAGTTTACTACAAAGCAGCCAGTAGCAGGATGAGGTGGAGGGACAGGGCAAGGAGGCAAAGGCCCCACTCGCAAACACTGGGAATATCTGTGGAGTGAGAGAATGGCCCAGAGCCCCGCTCAGTGCGCGCTGGTATCCTCCCTCGCGATTAAAAGCAATTCTTAGACTTCAGGTGTGTCAGCACTGCCACTTAGGCGCTTGCATAAAGTGAACCTAGAATCCGGCTTCTACAATGCACCACCCCAAAGGATGCGCAAGGAGGGACTGGGTTGTCTGGAGAAACACTTCTAGTCTCATTAAAATGAAAAAGGTAGAAACTCAGAAATATTTCTCCCATGTTCTGAAACAGCATGAACATCAGGTGACAACGGCTTATCAAATGTCAGTTAGCTACCCAGTGTGACTTCATTGCAGTTGGGGGCGGGGTGGGGGGGGGACGGAGTAGGGAGAAAAAAGGGGCAGACAGCCTGGCCAGCATAGCTCAGTGGTTAGTGTCGACCAGGAGTTCATGGCTGAATTCCTGGTCAGGGCACATGTCTGGATTGCAGGCTCGATCCCCAGTAGGGGCATGCTGGAGGCAGCTGGGAGGCAGCTGATCGATGTTTCTCTCTCATCGATGTTTCTGACTCTCTATCTCTCTCCCTTCCTCTCTGTAAATCAATCAATCAACCAATCAATCAATCAATCAAAGAAAGGAACAGAGAGAGGTGACTGGGAGATGTTGATTCCAGTATTCTCTGAGCTTGCTAGTCCAAATCTTGTTAATGGCACTGAAACAACTAGGTATCCATACAAACAAAATTAACCTGATCTATATGTAAAAGTAAATCCTAGACCTATATGTGAAAATAAAAACAGAACATTCTAAAAGCAGCAGAGAGAATAAAGGAAGTAGAGCTCAGGGCTCTGGGTTCAGACAGCTTATGACCAGACACAAGCCAGGACTCCGTTCCGGGCAAATGTGCTAACAGACACGCCACCTGCAGAGGTGAGCAGAAGCAGCGACGCCCACCAAGCACTCAGGGTAGCCTGTGCTCCACACGTGCGGGCTGCTTTTATTACTGTCCTGTACAGCACTGCACAGGAGCTGGCTTGCCAGGCTGCTCACTGTGGCAGAGCGAGCAGCGCCATCAATAGGATATGAGCCAACGGCCAGGTGACTGAGACAAGTGTCAGACAAGAGCAGATTTAACTTCACTGCTTCTGTTACAATACTTGCTGGCAGATGGGCCACTTTGAGTTGGTTTTGCTACTCACAACTTGCTTTCTGCATTCCTGAGTGTAGGCAGGCTAATTAGCCCAAACCCTCAGCATCAGCCAAATAAACCCATCTTCACAATTACTAAGATATATATTAGCCAAATATATTTCACCTAAATTCAAGAAACCTTTAGATCTAACTTCTCGTTTGAAGTAAATAGAGGAACCAGATATGCTAGCTCAGTACTACAATAAGGAAGGAAACAAAATATTCAGAATGTGGGACATTCTGCAGGGCCGGCCACTGATTGGCTCTTTATTAAATCTAATGCCATGAAAAGATTCTTTAAATCCTAGAAATAGAAGAGATTCAAGGGATACATCAACCAAATGTGATACAGGGTCTCAGGCTGGATCCTCATTTGGGCAATGCGGGGGATGTTCTGAGGAAAATTGGAGGAACTACAAAGTGGAGAATAGGATAAAGATTTAGAGACATGAAGTGAGAGTTGTGTTAACTTAAAATATTTTAAATAGCAAATTAGTGTAGCTCATTTGGTAAAAGTACAGGCACATAAATGCACGTGCAAATATCTGGAACCATAAATAGTAAGGAATTAATAGCCCTAATTTTTGGAAGGTGAGTATACAAGGTTTGTTTGCATATCTGTATTTTTTTCTAAGGTGCACATATGTTGGTTTTGTAATAACAGCTTATTTTTAATTTAAAAATGATCAGATTATAAAACAAGGCAAAATGAGGTAAGGTAAAAACTCATGGCAGATCTGATTAACAGAATTGTGTCTTCCTGATGCTGCTGATGCCACTGTCATGTAGCCATGGCCTTAGTGTGGAAACACACACACACACACACACACACACACACACACACACGGGGGGGTGGGGGTGCAGCCCAGCCTCCTGGGACCCCTTGGGGGCAGTTGGATATCCCTCTCACAATCCTTGACCGCTGGCTCCTAATTGCTTACCTGCCTGCCTGCCTGGTCGCCCTTAACTGTCCACCCTACTGGCCTGGTCACCCCTTACTGCCCCCCTGCCCCCTCTGGTGGCCTGGTTGCCTCTAACTGGCCCCCCCACCGGCCTGGTCGCTCCCAACTGCCCTCCCTGCCAGCCTGGTCACCCCTCATGTCCCCCCGCCAGCCTGGTAGCCTCCTGTTCAGTCGTTTGTTTGTCCCTCACTAACCCTGCTGCCAACCTGGCTGCCCCATGTAGCCTGCTTGTTCAGTCATTTGGTCATCCCTCACTAACCCCCCTGCTGGCCTGGTCATAGGCAGTCATCTTGTGAGGGTGTGATGGTCAATTTGCATATTATCTCTTTATTATATAGAATTCTTTCTTTTTAAAAATATATTTATTGATTTCAGAGAGGAAAGGAAGAGAGGGAGAGAGATAGAAACATCAACAATGAGAGAGAATCATTGATTGGCTGCCTCCTGCATGCCACAGACTGGGGATCGAGCCCACAACCCAGGCATGTGCCCTGATCTCCCAGGAATTGATTGACCTCCTGGTTTATAGGTTGGCACTCAACTACTGATCCACACCAGCCAGGCAAGAGGAAACATTTTATAATACAGTGTGGTTAATTCTGTCCACCACACTATTCCGTGCACATGTGCCCCTGTGGGATTCTCCGCACGGGGCCCACAAATCCTGGAACAGCACAGTCCCTGAGGTCAGCATTCAGAGTCTGTGCCAAAGAGTGAGGCCTCCATCCTAAGGAGGTTAGGAGTCACGGCCCTAAGAGGTTACTGTGGTGCTTTTCAATCGTGGGCTTTGAAATGTTCTTTCAACTCCAAAGGATCTGGGAGAAGAAGAAGGATGAGTAAAGAGATAGACTTCAACCTCAAGTGACTCGTCTGCTCCTGGGTTAAGCCCCCCCCCCCAGATCAAAGTGAACCAGAGAGCCCTGAGCTGAGGGGTACACTGACTACCTGGAGAGCAAGGTGCCAGAAATTTGGGAAAGTGCATGGAAGGAATAAGCATGGTCAGAGGTGAGCGAGGGAAAGGACTCTGCTTACCTTTGGAAGTTTGGGTTCAGAGAATTAATTTTGGAGCAACAGGCTGCAACCTCTGAAATGTCAGGAATTCAGTAATAAATGACGGGAGCCAATGAGTGTCATGTGTCTCTTATTAGAAATGGATTGCACAGGACCTGATCAATAGGCCAGATAGCAAAAGGCAAAGGAACTCTGGGCTGCTGTCTATAATGAATGGTTGTTTTATTAGAAACAACTTTGGTCAGACTCCCAGCAGTACCAAGTCTTTTAAAGCGCAGCCCATTATGCTCAAAAAGTCACAGAGGGATTGAACTTCCACCCAACTACAAATCAGGTTCAAAGATCAGCCTCTTTCTTGGAGGCAAGCATTTGTATCACAGCTGCAGATTCAAGAAGAACCGTCTGTGGCAGGACAGGTTGGGCAGCATGCATGCCTGCGTGCGTACGTGCGTCCTGTCCCTGTAGAGCCCGAGTTCGGGGCGGGGTAAGCCACAACAGGAAGCTCAGCATTCGATTAGAGCATGCCACCCACACGATTGCAACTTCAGAAGTGTTTTAACAAGCCTGCCGGTTGTACTTACTGGATATGCGTTTACTTTGACATTCCTTAAAGTTAAGTGTGTTTTACAGGGCGTTACACATTATTCCTACGTAAACTTTTCTGAATGTGATGACTATAAACTATCTTTGCCTTCCATCTGATTGCCTAGTTGTAGGAAGTCCTGGAGAACAAAAAATACTACAGTTGTCATATTCTTTAAAAAAAATTAATTAATTTTATATTAATTTCAGAAAGGGAGGGAGAGATAGAAACATCAATGATGAGAGAGATTCATTGCTTGGCTGCCTTCTGCACACCCCCTACTGGGGATTAAGCCTGTAACCTGGGCATGTGCCCTTGACCAGAATCGAACCTGGGACCTTTCAGTCTGCAGGCTGATGCTCTATCCATTGAGCCAAACCAGCTAGGGCCAGCTGTCATATTCTTAAAATACTCTGAGATGTAAGGTGAGAAATAGCAGTGAGCGTTTTCAAATGCCTAGCAAGAATGGCAGGGCAGGTAGGAGCAGTAAAAGGGTATTTTGCAAAATATAAAATAAATAATAGAAAACAAGATAAAAATAGAGTTAATCCCTGCTAAGTTGGAAAAGAGACAAGGCATTATGGAATTTTAGAGTGTTTGTAGAATGGTGGCTATGAGAGAACCCTAACTTTGATTGTCTAAACTTGAGCATGGAAAACATTGAATATTAGATGAAGACCAAGTGACAAAAGCATTAAAAACCCAGATATTATGAGTTTGGATAGTAATTTGGGATCTTCTGATTGCTTGGAACTTAAACAGAATGTAGCTCCTTTGCTGGGTCACCTTGTTGCTGATGGGAGGGTTGGGGGGGCAGGTAAGCAACCAAATGCCTGCGATGGTTGTTGGGTTCTGGTTGCTTAATTCTCTCAGAAGGCCCAACAGGAAGACCGTTCCAGATTCTTTGCTGTAATTTGTGCTGCCTCTTGGCACTTAGGCAGAGCTCAAAAGACCTCAGCGGAGTTTCTGTGGTGACATTTCACCTATTTAGGCCCCATACATACCTCATCTCCGTGCATATTCGCCACGTACTTGAACTCTGGAATCCCGATTCTGTGTTCCTTTGGTGAGCGTCCCACGACAAGAACCCACAGGTTTCTGCCTTTATAAAGAAAAAAAAAAGACCGAAAAATAAGTTGTCTTTTAAAATGACAAATGGACTCTGGGAGAATGACAAGGGAAACAACCACTGCTTCTCCCCTGATTAAAGCTTCAAGATGCTCCAGTTCACAATTAGCACTGCTGTGCTTAAAGGGCCCCAGTGTACTGCCAGCCCAGACCCTTCACTTCAGCACAAATATTTAACTTACTATTTTACAATGTGATATTTAAAAACTGAAGGCTAGCCCTAGCTCGTTAGGCTCAGTGGATAGAGCGTCAGCCTGCGGACTGAAAGGTCCCAGGTTCGATTCTGATCAGGGCACATGCCCAGTGGGGGGGGTGCAGGAGGCAGCTGATCAATGATTCTCTCATCATTGATGTTTCTATCTCTCTCTCCCTCTCCTTTCCTCTCTAAAATCAATAAAAATATATTTAAAAAAAACCCCAACTAAAACCAAAAAAACTGAAGACTTGTTGGGTGACATAGATCTCGTTTTTCCAAAATGCTTATTATATGCTTTGCTCTGAGTTTCTAGTGCTTTATAGAAAACTAGAGGCCGGGTGCACCGGTGGGGTCCCTTGGCCTGGCCTGCAGGGATTGGGCCAAAACCAGCTCTCCAACATACCCCGAGGGGTCCTGGATTGTGAGAGGGTGGTTCTTGGGTGACGCACCACAGAACTGGGTTCTCTTCTCTCCAGTTCTGGGCACATAAAACAAGAA